CTCAATCACAAAATCTCCAACTTCTGAAAAGTGTACTGGGTAGAGTCTTCAAGGGTGTCCTATTCACTGACTCATTAGAAGAAGTTCAGTCTTGGGTGCCTGGGTGACTAAGTGGTGAGCATCTGCCTTTGGCTCAGGTTGTGATCCTGGGATTCTGGGCTCCTGCTTCTCCCTCTACCTGTGTCTCTGCCTCTCTGTATCTCTCATGAATAAATAAATAAAATCTTTTAAAAAAGAAGAAAAGAAGAAGGAGAAAAAGTTCAATCTTGACAACCCCTAAGAAGAAGGATATTTCTCCATCATTTCTATTTTCAAATTTTAATTTCAAATTCTCCCCTATCAAACTCACAGCCTCAGAGATTAGGTATATTTAGGACAGATTCTCAGGTCCCTGTATTTGTCATGTGAGACCAAATCCACACCATCTGAAATCAGTGTTGTTTAGGGAAAATGTCATGATAATGGGCTTGTCAATGGCTCCAGGAAGGAATCCAGGTGGCACGGCCAGGCGAGTTCCTCCCAAACCTTTCTTCACACCTGACAGGTGAGGGCTCCTTCTCTGCCCCTTTCCAGTTCATGCCCATTGTTGGGAATACTGATTATGGATGTGAGAAGGCTGCCTCCAAGTACACAGCTGTGGAAGCCTAAGAGAAACAGAAAACCTACCCGTGGGAGAAATGAGACTGTGCCAGGAGAAAGCCCTTCTCATCCCTACGTAGTGATTCTCTGCTATTTACCTGGTCAGAGTTTTGCTTTGGTTTCCACCCCAACCTCATTTTACATAATATTGACCCTTAATAAACAAAATGATTATTTTACAAATAATAGTATAAATAATAAATAATGGTATAAATAATTGTTTTTTAATGAAGGAATAAACCCCCTTAATAAATATTGTTTATTTATAAGGATATCACTCATATGTATATAAAATTTGAGGTTCTGACTTTAGTTTTATGGAATGTTGCTATTTTAATACTGAGACCGCCCTGAAACCTGGACCCAAACGTCCACAGGGTCTGGTGTGGTGGCGGGGCTTGCTCTCATATTGGTGTTACTTTGTTGTTACTTCCCAACTGCAACAATTCCAGGTCATTCAATGATATTTATTAGGTTCTACGTTCACTATTAGGGAGAAGATGCCTTAGCATTTTCTCAAATCTCACTTCTTAGCCCTTAGAATAACACAGCTCCTGTTATCTGTTGCTGCTTAGCAAATTTACCCCAAAACATAATGACTTAAGACAATGATTTTATTTTGCTCCCCTTTTGGTGGGCTAGGAATTTGGACAGAAGCCTACTGGGCATCTTGTCTGTGTAGTGTCGGCTGTGGTGGCTTGACAGGTGGAGGAGTAAGTGACTCATCCATGTGGCTGGAAGCTCTGCATGAACTGCTGACCATTGGCTTTTTCAGCTTGGTGGTCTTCTCACATGACAGCTCAGGGCTTCCAAAGAGAGCCAGGAAGGAGAAGCTGCCTTTAAGACTGGGGCCAGACAATGCCATAGTGTCACTTCTACCATATTCTGTTGGTAAAAGCAGTCACAGAGACCACCCAGATTCAAAGGAGGTGTGAGGAGTGTCACAGATCCGGGCCACCTTTAATCCACCCTAGGAAAAAATTGCAAATTGTCAACATTGGCCTCCAAGATCGTATGCAATGTGGCCTCACAAGGGCAGAGAATGAGCATGAACAGAACATAGTTAGAACCTTGGTTTTCCTTCTGAGCTTGCTACTGGTATCCCAGTAAAATGTTGAGCAAGTAGCAAATACTTGATAAGTGCCTGTTGCTAATTGTTGAAACTGCTACATCACCATAAATATGGTACTATACTGAGGACTAGTTCAGTCTGTGAATCAGAAAATCCCTTCTACGCATTTAGTCTGTGCCAGACATTGTATTAGGTGCTGGGAACACAGTCATCAAAGTACCATTCATGGTGCCTGCCTCATAGAGGGTATGATTTAGTAAAGGAAAAAGGGATTTATCAAATGATTTCATAAATAAAAGTAAAATTGCACCTGATAGCAGCACCATAAAGGAAAGGTACTTCGTGCAATGAGAGAGGTAGAGACCAGAGGAGTGATGATCGGACTAAGATGTGCAAGATAGGTAAGGTGGGAAGCACTGAGCATGTAGGCAGTGGAAATGGGCTTCTGGAAAGTCCCAGGGCAAAAGGAAGCTTGGTGAGTATGGAAAGCCAAGATTAGTGTCCTAGAGAGGAGTGATCCAGAGGGAAGCCAGTGTGAGCTGAGGCTGGAGAGGAGAAAGCAGCCAGAGATGGCAGGGCCCTGAAGACTATTGGGTTTGCTCCTCAAGGTGATATGTGGACACCTTGCCCAATACCCAGCAAATCCCATGCATTCTTCCATCTGTCTGTCTGTTCGTCCCTCTACCCATCTGTCTGCCCACCATCCATTCGGTCTATTCTTAGTTGACCGATCACTTTCCATGTGCTGGCGATACAGAAGTAAATAAAATGACCTCAGGTGTGCCTTTACAGAGCTCATGCCCATGCCCACCAAGCATTCACTCTTTACTACTACCCTCCAAATAATGAGACCTCACTGATTCTAATAAGCAAGGATACTATCCTGTACGCTTCTCCCTGAATCCACCCCCACTTCCCAGTCATACTTATATAAAAATGCATCTTCTTGAGTACTTAGAGTATTAGAGGAGTACTTGATGCTAGAATGGGAATCCAACACGACTTTTCTTGGAAATCCATCAGGAACCACCAACAATAATGCCACATTGTGCTGTCCCTTTTGCTGCATTGACAAGTCTAGCCACATTCGGGGTAGAGTCATAGGTTCCTTTCTTTTGGGAAAGATTTTTTTTTCTCCATAGCTTGACTAGCCCTGAGCACACCATTCTCCCAAGGGAGGACTCTCGTGTGGATTTCTACGATGAGAAAATTGTTCTGTTAATCAATTCAACTAAACTTATCTTTGCTCAAGGTAGCTCCATGCAGTTCAGCCAGACTCAGTACAACTCGATTCAGTCCATCCATTCATCTATCTGTTCATCAATCCATGCTTTCAACAAGTATTTTTTAAGTACTTTTCTGAGTCGAAGTCTATGTTTGGCTTGGGGATCCACCAATCAACTTACCTCCTCTGTCTAATCTAAATAGTGTATTGTGGTGAAGAGCAGATTGGACTTTGAGCAGGATTGCCCTGTGTTTGCATCCTAGCCCTGCCTCTTATGTATTGGATTGGAGAATTTCATTAGGTTATCTGGGCCACAATTTACTCTTTTTATTTTTTATTTTTATTTTTTTAATTTAATTTAATTTAATTTATTCTTGAGAGACACAGAGAGAAGCAGACTTCCTGCGGGGAGCCTGATGTGGGACTCAATCCCAGAACCCCAGGATCATGACCTGAGCCAAAGGCAGACTCTCAACCACTGAGCCACCCACGTTCCCCAATTTCCTAATTTTAAAGTGGAATAATAATGCCTACTGTGTGAGAATTTCGTCAGGATTAAAAAATGGTATCCATTCCCAGAACAATGGATGAAAATAACCAATGAACATCATTGGGAAGTTTCTAAACACCATGAACCAAAAGATCCTATGGGTTTTAATAAAGATAAAATAGGTCACTTATAAGAATCAGGAAACACATTGACTTCAGACATTTAAAAGCAAAAAGACAGTAGAACAGAGGTTCTAGTCCTGGCTAAGATGGCAGACACACCCTCCACTCTCCCATGGACTGCCTTTATAAAACCTGAACAGAAGGATACAGCAACTGTTTGAAGATTTTGAAAAGTAAATAGTAGCAGACAGATTGAGGAAGAGAGAATTCAAAGTACAACCAAATCAGCAATGTCAATATCATTTTTTTCCCCCTCTGGAATACCCAGACATGACTCAAGGCAATGTGACAGCAATGGAAACAATAGCCCGAGGTGCCTAAAATATGGAATATTTTTCAGCAATAAATTATTGATTAATGCAAAAAAATAGATGACTTGTAGATGCATTTTGCTAAGTGATATAAGCCAAGTCCCAAAGACTGTGATATGATTCAATTTATATAACATTCTGGGACAAGCCACACTGTAAGGACAGAAAGCAGATCAGTGATTGGCAAGGGATGAGGTTAAGGGAGGCATTGACTCTAAAGAAGTAGCACAAGGGAATTTTTGTGATGGGAGAAAAATGGTATCCATTAAATTCTCTCACTTTTTCTTTAATCTTTTTGGACCTAAAGGAAAGAGTAAGCAAAAAAAAAAAAACAAAAACCATAAGGTCGTGGGTGGGAGGTAGCACCCACTGTGATACTGTGGTCTTACCCCTTGTTTCTGCCCCTGATTCACCATGTTCCTCAAATCCCTTAGGACATTTCTGCTGAATTATTTCTGGAAAATTACCTTGACATTTACCTATGTTACTTGATTGCATCCCTGGGCTCAGGCTGAGTCTTGATTTCTTGTGTCCAGAATCAGGACTGTGCATTTGAGCAAACCTTCAGATTTCCCTGTGCCAGCCCATCATTCTTAGCCCATTCTCTTTCAAACAGGGCAAAGATATAGGGCATGTGGGTAAGGGTTAAGGATGGTAGCCTACCCAGCCCACCAATCCAGCAGAACCTCAGGAACAGCATAGTTAGGGACATCCTATAGTATTGATAACAGAGGAACAGGGGTAAGACAGAAAATATGAACAACAGTGTAACCCAGTAGAGAAGGTGAACTCACATCAGGGTGAGATCTCCCCAACCACAGACATGCGCTCTTCCCTCCACAGCCTAGACTACCACGTCATTAGACATCAGCTCACATAAGTGCCAACTCAGGTCTGAAAAGTGGCAACTGAGCCACAGTGTTCGCCATTCTCAGGTTCCCTAAACTAAGGAGGGCATTCCTTTTATCTCTCATTGCTGTCTACTGTGCCCAAAATCAGGTCCAGTTTTTCTGTCTAAAAAGAATGCCTCCCACTCAGATGCGGCTCAGAGTCATCTTACACAAATACTCTTTTCTCTTAGGTACTCGATGGTCTCAGATGCAGAAACAGAAAGCATTTTCATGGAGCCCATTCACCTGTCTTCATCGGTTGCAGCTAAACAGATCATCAACGAAGGTAATGCCACCAGAAGGCTGGTGGAAGCAGGCAGAGTCCACAGCCATCTGGGGATCCCTGGAGAAGGCCCACTGGAGGAGGTCAGGGTGCTTCTCAGGGGCTGCCCATCACATTAGGAGGAGTAGATCCAAAGATTGTGATTCGGCCAACACAACTCATCATCAACCTTCAAGAGATAGAGGCGGAAATTATTACGCATCGGTGTGAATCGTTCTCTGGAGTCAGCAGCCAGGGAGACAGTGCCAACCTGCTTCTATGTCCTCCCATTCAGTTTTGTAGTTAATCTCAGGAATCCTGGGGTGGCTTATACTAGAGACACAGACCTGAAAGCCCAAGAAATGACCAGAAGCACACAGAGAGTTCTGTTCAAAGGGATATCTAGATTTATTCATTTTCTTTAAGATTTTATTTATTTATTCATGAGATACAGACAAAGAGAGAGAGAGAGAGAGAGAGAGGCAGAGACACAGGCAGAGGGAGAAGCAGGCTCCATGCAGGGAGCCCAACATGAGACTCGATCCCAGGTCCCCAGCATCAGGCCCTCGGCTGAAGGCGGCGCTAAACTGCCCAGCCACCTGGCTGCCCAGGATATCTAGATTTAGATCTGCATTCCCACTAGTGTTTGAAGGTGGTTTTCAATCTGAATTATGTATGAGGAGGAGGCAGGGAAAGGTAGAATGGGGAGAAATGTTAATATGCACACCGTAAATTTTGGCACAGAAACATACTATATATTTCATTCAAGGATACTCATCCTGATTGGATGAATTTTTTTTTAAATCAATTTTGGGCAAACATCTTTTCTACTCCCTCTGCCTTGAGTGTCTCTGTCACTACTGTTGGGGTGGGGTAGGACGTAGCAGCCATGCTAATGACATAGGGTCCTGCTGGGCTTTGAGCTTAATTTGGCATCCACTGCTGGTGTCTGTGAAACCTTCCCTGGCCTTTAGTTGTGAGAACCACACATACTGCTGCTTCTCCATGTAGTCCCAGGTCTTTCTCGGTCCTCAGGCCCTCTGGGTGCCCCCAGGGTCGCTAAGGGCATCTGGATCCACTTCATGAGGAGCCAGAAATTCCATCTGCCACTGCTTGTGACATAGACATCCTCGGGGGCCCCATCTTCTCAAGGAACTCTCAAGTTTTTTTCCCTTTTATTTTACCGCCCTACCTGGAGTCTCTCTTCCCTTTGCTCCAAGCCAGGCCAAAGTGGCTTCACCCAGTCTAGATCTCTCTGAATTGATCCCAGCACCACCCTAGCTCTGGAAGTTCTTTTTTCCTCCCATGTGTTTGGGAACTTCCCTCACCTTCCCACTTGCAACACCCCTGCTCTGTGCCTTACTCCCTGGACCCTTCTCCATCCTTGGGTTCTTGGGAAGTAAAAATCTGGCTTTCAGAGCTGTAAGAAAACCATTTCCTCTCTTTGAAAACTTTGCTTTCAAGCCTATAGAATGCTCTACATGGGTCTACAGGACATTGCACATGTAGGTTGAAATCTAAAGCTAAACAGTGCCTTTTCTTAAATTCTAGATTTTATCTACCGTCCCTTGTCGGGGCATTGAGCCTAGGTTTTCTTAGTCTCAGTGGCTCATGGGTGGAGTGGGGAGGTAAAAAACACAGCAGAGAAAGGAAAATGTATCAGGTGCTATTTCAAAACATTACCCTGCTCACCAGTGATCAGAGGGATAAAAACATGTGTTGAAGAACCCTTCATTTTCATGAAAGTCTGCATGTGCCATATACCCGAGAGAGCTTCAAGGAGAAAAGTATAGGCTTTGCTTCTGAAGGAATATTACATAGTAAAATAAATGGGAGAAATTGATGCAGGGAGGGAGGTAGACCAGACCTGGGGAAAGCAGGAGCTGTCAGTAAGAATGAGGGGCTGGGACACTTGTTTTTAAACTGGAAAGGGAAAAATCAAGACAACAACCAGCTATGTAAATAGCTGAGGAGGACAATGCTGTATATTTTAATGAGGCATCAGGGAGTTTTAGTTTTTTATATGTAGTAAAGAAGAGAGGCCTCTGTTAGGGGAGGGAAGGAGAGGGCCTTTTTCATTTGCTAGGTAAGATCCCAGGAGAGCCAGGGGAGAAGACTGAGTGGTAGAGAGAATAGGAACGCTTCATCTATTTTTAAACAAAATAGAGCTCTGGGATTGCAGGGCTTTTCTTTTTTCTGCTTTTGAAACGGAGATCAGAGAACATTTAGAGCTGAGATCTGATTCAGGGATGGGGGGCCCATCAGGTGGTTCAGAAAAGGGAAGAGAGAGAGAAGAGCTTTAGGGAAACGGAGTGCTCAGACCTGGGTAGAAAGCAGAACCCCCGGGACCCGCAGACCTTGAGCAGCCGGCCTAGCTCATGGACACCTGTTCAGCTTGTGAAGGGTTGGGCCACGTCTAGTCGCCAAATGTGACTGTGCTCTTCACCCATCAGGGAAAGAGATGGTGCCAGCAAGAGGTCATGGCCCACACGGGAGACACTCTTTCCTTTCTTACTTTTCCCCCTCTCTCTATTCAGTATTTTTGGCTACTAAGTGGCAGGAAAGGTTTTGCCCTCCTTTATTCTTATATTTCTCAGAGAAAGAAATATCTTACATTCCCCCCAAATTTGATAAACCGGGAACAAAAATATTAGGAGGAGGAGCTAAAGGCTCACTGGAGATGTGGGTGAATAGATTTTGAATTCATTTGCAATCTGAGCTTTTCTGAGGCAGAAAGGCCCTGCATGGTGTTTTGGGACCGGCATGGGAGTTCTTGGCAAACCCTTGCTGCCTGCCAGAAAGTTTGGGGGACTGAGATTCACAGGCACTTACACTCCAGTGCGGAGAAGCAGACAAGAAAATAAACAACTAAATTAAATGTGTATGAGAAAGTGACCTCACATAAATGCTGAAAGTTTTACTTTTCCCAAGTTACCTGCATTCCGTATGAAAAGGAGTCAAACTAATAAAGTGAAATGTGATATGAAAGAATGCCATTTATTCATTTGGTAAATGCTTCTAGTTTACATGGTACCCTGTGGGAGCTGTGCAGGTGAATCAGACATACGCCAGGTACTTAAGGACCTTGTTCTAAGAAATTATCAACCTTTAGAAAAATACAGGAGGGAGTAAGGGAAATGAGTGTCCCTCCACCTACACCCATCTACCTATACTGTTGTTGGTCCTGACCACAAGTGTCCAGGCCAATGCAGCCCTCACCACCACCCCCAGACCTTCATTAAGTCCTTCCTGGTATTGGGGCATGCTCAGAGTCCTAGCAGCAGCCTGGCCAAGAGCAGATCCTCCTGAGAATGGGGAGGGCCGTGGCATTCTTAACTCCTTAATGAGAATACTGCTTGTCCTGTCTAGAATTCAAGCCACGGGGGATCAGAGCCGAGGCAGAGTGTCCAGGCATGCTGGAGTCGGCCGAGCAGCTGCTGGTGGAGGACCTGTACAACCGTGTCAGGGAGAAGATGGATGACACCAGCCTATACAATACCCCCTGCGTCCTGGATTTACAGCGGGCCTTGGTCCAAGACCGCCAGGAGGCGCCCTGGAATGAGGTGGATGAGGTCTGGCCCAATGTCTTCATAGCAGAGAAGTGAGTCTGACTGCTGCAAGTTGTGACCCTTTGTCCCACCCTTTCAGTGCCCGAGACACACGAAACACCTCCCACTTTCCCCGAAAAGGCCCCAATAGCTTCATCCCACAAGTTGATGCTGTCTGATGGGACATTTGGAGTCAGGGATGGTACCAATGAAGACTTTCACAATATAATAAGATGACAAACAGGTTATAATTAATACATATCTATGTACATAGATATGTATAATATACTAATTGAGCAACACATAGATGTGTGTATGCACTTTTGCATAGACAACAATTAGAAACAAATGTGATTAAACAGTAACAATATTCTCTAAGAGGTGGTTCTGCAAGTGGTTTTTATTTTCTTCTCTAGGTTTCTTTTGAATTGTACAGATTGCCTAGAGTAAACATTTCTTGGTTTTATAATCAGAAAAAAATGTTATTTTTAAAAAGTTTATGAGTGGTTTTTCAGAACAAAACCCAAAACACTTCACTCATGTCCTGTTCCTTCAGGGTCCTGCTAATGTACAATCAGTACCCACAGGTTAGTTTGTGAAACTAATCTTTGCTGATCAATTAGCTACATAATGAGATAGCCTCCCTGTGCAATTACTCATATATGTGAGGATTTGGGGGCCCCCGTGGCGGCAGGCAGTAGGGAAGACAACTTTGGATGGTGGGGCTTGTACTCCACCAGGAGTGATGATCACAACCTGAACCTCAGAGCTGGGCACCAAGTCCTAAGTGATCTCTAGCTAGCTCTGGAGATCCAGGGACATTCCATCATGCTCATCAGGGACCCCAGACGCCTCCGGATAACCCCAGGTTTCTGGTTCTTCTTTGGCAATCTCATCTTCAGAGCCTCTTCAAACCAAGCTCCACTTACTTCACTGAGCAAAAAGAGCTGTGAACTAGAAACCAAAACACCTCTCTTTGTTCAGTCTTTTTTCCTTTAAGTCCTGGGAAGTCAGAAAAGTTCTTAGGTTCATTTTTATAATCTTCGAATGGGAATGAAAATAGTTACCCTATCTACCTCTTAAGTTTATCCTTAGGGATAAAATGAAATAATGTGTGTAAAAGGACTTTGAAAAATACAGCATGACATATCAACGTGAAGCACATCTAATTTGATCATTAGTTCTGTCTGCCACTTTTGCGTCCAGATGAATGTCCATTCCCAAGGCAAAGAATTTTAAACCAGAGGTCTCTAGATCAAAGATTTCCTTCCCTATCACTCTTATTCTCCTCTTCATTCTACCCTCCCCTGCCCAGCTCCCTGTCCTTCTTTCTCTGGCCCCTTTTTATAACCATATTTGCCTGGCACCAAAGAAGGAGGTGCTCACCCAGCTGTGGCCTCTCGCTCCTGGTCTCTGGTAATGCACCTTTCCTGCTCTGACTCTGGCAAAAACTCTCTCTGACTCCTTCCTCCTCCCCAGGAGTGTAGCTGTGAACAAAGGGAGGCTGAAGAGGCTGGGAATCACTCACATCCTGAATGCTGCTCATGGCACCGGCGTCTATACTGGGCCCGAATTCTACACTGGCCTGGAGATTCAGTACTTGGGCTTGGAGGTGGATGACTTTCCCGAGGTGGACATCTCCCAGCATTTCCGGAAGGCTGCTGAGTTCCTTGATGAAGCCCTGCTGACCTACAGAGGTGAGGGAGTAGAGTGTGCCCTCTCCAGGCTGCTAGAACTCCACAGGGGGAGAGGCAGAGTGGGGGACATCAGGAGAACTCCGGATTACCTGGCATGTCTGGAGGTTATCTGTCCTAAGAAGGTAGTTGTCTCATTCTAAGAAGAGAGGCACGGAAAGGACAATCATTCATCTTATTGGTAATTATTGAGGGCCTAATACATATCAGGCACTGTTCTAGGTACAGAAGGACACAGAAAGACACAGAAAAAGCTCTGACCTTTGAATCTCACACTGTAGTGAGCACAGAGAAATGTGTCAGAGAGTGACAAGTGTGAGGCAGAGACCAAATAGGATGATGTGTTGGAGTGACTGGCTGGATGCCGTGGGGACGGTGGTTGAGAGAGCCTCTCTGAGAAGAGGACATTTAAGCCAAGTGATAGGAAGGATGTAGCCATGGAAAAATAGGAAGAAGAGCATTCCTGGCCAGGGAAAGTGCTAGCTTGAAGCTCCTAAAGTGGAATAAGCTTGGTGTGTCCGGGATCACAGGCTCATATGTCAGCACGGTGGGGAAGGGTTAGAGTGGCAGGGCCCAGTCATGCAAGAAGTTGAAGGCCAAAGTGAAAGAGATGGAAAGTTCCTTGAATCTGATCTACATTGTAGAAAACTCTCTCTGGGCTTGGGAGACTGTGGCGGCAGAAGGGTGGGACTAGGAGCAGGGAGTGCTGAGGCCGTGGCTGTCGTCCAAACGCGAGATGACCAGAGACTCAGCCACAGAGTAGATAGGACACCTCAGTGGGGACAGGATGCAACCCATGCGTTGGGGGTGGCTGGAGTTCAGATCCGGAGTCAGAAACCTCGGGCTTGAGTCCAGGCTCTGCTATGCTCTCTCTTCCCCAGGACCTTGAGCCATTTCTTTCTCCAGGAGAACCTGTTTCCTTGTATATACAACAGAGATAAAGAGATGTAATCTTCCTAACATTGCTATGAGGATTAAATTTTAAAATGCGGGGATCCCTGGGTGGCGCAGCGGTTTAGCGCCTGCCTTTGGCCCAGGGCGCGATCCTGGAGACCCGGGATCGAATCCCACGTCGGGCTCCTGGTGCATGGAGCCTGCTTCTCCCTCTGCCTGTGTCTCTGCCTCTCTCTCTTTCTCACTGTGTGCCTATCATAAATAAATAAAAATTAAAAAAAAAATTTAAAAAAAAAATTTTAAAATGCGTATAAAAACTTACTTAGCACAGCACCTGGCAAATATGTATGTGTATGTATATGTATAGTTATAAATATATGTATGTATCTCTATACATAGAATGTTTTATAGAGATTTTTATTAAAATGAAATTTTTAAATTTTATGCATATATATTACATATGTATGTATACTATATGAAATAGTTTTCTCTCCTTTTCAATTCTTTAAAAAAAAAAAACCCTTAGTAAGAACTTTAAGAACATAACACTTGACAGACCAGCTCTACTAGGAACCCACCCTGAGGGGATCAGATATACCTACAGAGATGTGCTTACAAGGATTACTCGTGGGATCATAGTCTGAATGATCAGAAACACGAAATGTGGATTGGTTACGTAAAGTTTGATATGGTCATAGACCAGGAACCTCGGCTCTCATTAAAAATGAAAACGGGGGGTGGCTCAGCAGTTTGGCGCCTGCCTTTGGCCCAGGGCACTATCCTGGAGTCCCCGGATTGAGTCCCACGTCGGGCTCCTGGCGTGGAGCCTGCTTCTCTCTCCTCCTGTGTCTCTGCCTCTCTCTCTCTCTCTCTCTCTCTCTCTCTCTATCATAAATAAATAAATAAATCTTTATTAAAAAAAATGAAAACGGGAAAAAAAATGAAAACGGAGCCTCATACTTGCTACCATGAGAGGATGCTTATAATAGATTAAGTGAACAAAACTGAATTGAAAACAATACCTATGGTTTGACACATTTCTATGGAGAAAAAAAAAAACATCCCTACTTTTAAAAATTTATTCCTTCCGACCATCGTTGACTGGAGCCTGTGTGCAGACGCCAGCGGGGAGGGGGTTTCTGGCGCGCTTCTGCCCCGCACGGAGCGGCGGGGAGAGCGTGGCCACGGACGTGGGGCCAGAGCAGGACCAGGGAGCGTGGTCGGGCCAACTTGAGCGGAGCCGGAGCCGCCAGGGCGGGCGGGTGGCGGGGCCTCCCTGTGGCCCTGCTGGGCCCTGTCACCTGCTCCTCCCCTCCGCTGCTGCTGGCGGTGGCCATCAGCCTGCCCTCGCTGCCTCCGCCTCTACCCCCTGCACCCCGCACCCCGCACCCCTGCCAGGCAGGGAAAGGACCTTATCCCCACTGGGGTTACCTCTGCATCCTTCCTACTCCAGCCTGAGGGCTGTCACCACCCCTAATCGGTAGCTTCTGTGATTTCCTCTACTCCAGGATGCTTTGGAGTCTGCTCTGAAGAGGGAGGAAGGCCAAACTAACACCTGGGCTGGGCGGTTTAGGTAATAGTCACAATAACTACAGTGGAGGATGTTATTTACATTTTACAAATGAGGAAACTGAGACCCACAGAAGGTTTAGTGACTTTGTCGCTGTGTGATAATCAAGGTTCTCTTGGTTGCTAGTAAGTAGAAACCATCTCAAACTATTTAACCATCACCAAAGGCATTAATTATAACAACAGAAGAAAAAATCCAAAGACGGGGATGTGGCTCCAGACTCACCTGAACAAGGACTGGATAATCTCTGGACTCTTGTTTTCCATCTTCTCTTTTTCTTTCTACCCCAGGTAGCATGGCCCTTCACAGACCTGAACATAGACTGGCTAACTTCCTGCCTCAGTGTCATTTCCAAATTTCCTAGGGAGAAAATGTGCTTGGCAGACTCTGGTCCTTTGTCTACCTTGAATTCTATCCATGGTGGCAAGGTGGGGAGCATAGCTTCTGGACAAGTGCTTCTTGTGTTTTTCCCGAATATGGAAAGAGGGAACATTCTGAGGAAAATGAGAATGATAATTGGGAGAATACAACACAAAAGCCAGCCATGTAGAGGAATACTGAAAATGGAAAGAGACCTTTCTTACTCAAGCCCAGTGCTCTCTCCAAGCCACATCCTTCAAACTCTTCAAACAGAGGGACCACATCGAGAGGGCACCTCCCTCTTCCTGCTGCTCATCAAAATGGTGGCTGCAATTTAGAAAAAGACCACCTTCCTCAAGCCGTTTTATTGCTGGAGATGTTTCATCAGAATCAAACAAATCTGCAAATTGACTTTGACTTGGATATACATATGGTACAGTGTCAGTGTGACCATGTGTCAAACAGAGAGCAGACAGTCCTGTCACCCAGGGCCTGACCCACCTCGCCTCCCCCTTGTCCTCAGGCCACACTTGAAGCTCCACAGAGGAACTCTGGGGTGCAGGGAACACAGCATGGAAAAGCACAGCACCCCCCAAGCTGGTTTCTGCCAGACTGAGTCTAAGTAGCACTTGATGCCAGTCTCTATGAGGAAGCTGGGCTGCTTGTGCCAGAAGTGTCCTGTTGTGAGCCGGCCCGGTAACTCCACCTCCAAAGAAAGGAAGGAAGACTTTGGTGCTGGTGGTAGTAAGTGGCGGCAGTGGCCTGGTCAGCCAGTTAAAGGGCAATCTTTGGTGAGAGACAGCTGAGCCCAGAGCTGGTGATGGGAGGAGAGGACACCCTCCGCCCTTCACCTCCCTCTAGTCACTGCTGTCCTTTGGCAATAATGTTCTTCTGCGTGACTGGGCCTCAGGTCCCTTCTAGGCTTGCCTTGGTCTCCGACTTCATGTGACAAACAGTCTTAACTGGATGCAAGATGCGCTGATGAAAATCACCCCCTGCCCATCCCATATTGTTAGCTAGGACTCTTAAAGATGTAACGAGCATCCCCAAAGACTGTTGGCAAATAGATTGATGGCAGCATGCAAGGAGGTCTCCCGTGGTTCCAGGCTGCTCAAAAACAGCCATTAGAATGAAGGCATAGAAGGCATGTTTGTCATATTTATTAAGGACATGAAGCAGAAGATGAGGCAAGGGGATAACTGATTTATTGAATGCTAGAGTCAAGACTTGGTAAAAGTTTCTGGTAGGCTATAAGGTTATTTTTACCAAAAACATTAATAGGAATTGGTAAAGTTATCCTTATGTTTTAAAAATGCTGACACATGACTTAATAGCAGTTTAAAAAAAAAAAAAAAACCTTTACAGGTTTCAGTTGATATAAAAGATAATCTGAGTTCATTTTAGGACCTATCCATCCACATTGCAAGCTTAAATGGCATCAATGAAGCCTCGGTGCCCAGAATGAGAGTGGCAAGAGGCCCACTCTATTCTGTGTGGATCAATCGAAATCTGAAATATATTTGCTCAATCCTGACACAGACTCCTAAGGAAGAAAAAAAAAAAAACTAATAAAGTTTGACCTGCAAGTTTGGCTAGTAATGATTGAAAGACCCAGAATAGCCAAGAAATGGGAAAAAAAATTAATGAAGAATGTAATAGTGAGCTCTTACATATTTTTGTATAAAAGCCCTGGTTCATTATGGAAATGTCAGAATGTCAGAGTAGGAGCATGAGATACTCATTAGAGAAAGCTATACTTTGCCCTAACATGTGAAACAAGTTTCGAAAGAGTAAATTGATCTAAATATAGAGTGAAGGATGTGTGTGTGTGTGTGTGTGTGTGCATGTGCATGATACTGAGCTCCCTGTCACAGGAAGCATCCAGTCTCTCCTGGATGATGGATGATCCAGCATCGAGGACATTGTAAAGGGAATTCTCAAGTTTCCACTATACTCCTGGTGCTTTCCCACACTGACATTCCGTGTCATTGTGATTCATTCACCTCAGCCTCATTTCTTTTCTTCTTTCTTCCCCCTCCCCCCATTCCTTTGTTTCTCCTCCCTCTGGTGCTCATCCATCTGGCAGGAAGAAAGTAGGGGTGCACCCCAGTGTTTCAAAAGTGGGGGCACTTGTTAGCTCTTTTCCCTCCCCACCCTTCCCTCCCTGCCCATGTTCAGGCAATGCAGAAAATGCTTGCCCAAGCGCAGGGCAGCCTCACTGGCCTCTCTGATGTCCGTAACATGGGGCAGTGATGCTCATCCCTCATGGGACTTGAGTGCAGATGAATGCCAGAGGCTAGTAAATATATTAAGTCCAGCACATCCAAACAGTACTTTTCATTTATTTATTTTTAAAGATTTATTTATTTATTCATGAGAGACACAGAGAGAGGCAGAGACACAGGCAGAGGGAGAAGCAGGCTCCCCACAAGGAAGCCCAATGTGGGACTCCATGCTGGATCCCAGGATCATGCCCTGAGCCAAAGGCAGATGCTTAACCACTGAGCCACTCAGGCGTCCCACCAAACCGTACTTTTTAACAGAACTTTAAAAACCCTAATAAGGAAGCCACCGTAGTTATGTTATTCCCTCTCGTGTTTGCTTTCAGGGAAAGTCCTGGTCAGTAGTGAGATGGGCATCAGCCGGTCAGCAGTGCTGGTGGTGGCCTACCTGATGATCTTCCACAACATGGCCATCCTGGAGGCCTTGATGACTGTGCGCCGGAAGCGGGCCATCTACCCCAATGACGGCTTCCTGAAGCAGCTCCGGGAGCTCAATGAGAAGTTGATGGAGGAGAGAGAAGAGGACTACAGCCAGGAAGGGGTGACAGATGAGGCTGAGGAGGGTGAGGATAGGGAGAGCAAGGTGGGGGCCAGAGTGCACAGCCTCACGGTGCAGGAGGAGGAGGACACCATCAGCCACCTGAGCGGCTCCTCCTGGGGCCGGGCCAGCCAGGCCTCCAAGCCCCTCAGCCTCATTGACGAAGATGAGGAGGAGAAGCTGTACGAGGAGTGGAAGAAGGAGCAGGGCCTCCCGGCCGGCCAGGTCCCCCAGGCTGGAAATGCCCAGAGACGGCCGGCCTCTGGCCAGGGTAGGGAGGAGCCAGAAGACGGAGAGGACGTGGAGAGGATGATTCGGGAGTGGCAGAGCCGAAATGAGAGGTACCAGGCAGAAGGGCATCAGCGGTGGGGGAGGGAGGAGGAGGAGGAGGAGGAGGAGGAGGGCGAAGAGGGCTCCTTCGTGAGGAGGAGCCGGCGGCGCATGCTGAGCGAGAGCAGCACTTCGGAGAGTGTGAGCAGCCACGACATCCGGGTCCTGAAGCAGCAGCTGCAGGTGAGCAGCCTGGGCCGGGCTGGGAGGCGCCGCTCGGACTCGGTGTCCACGGAGAGCACCTGGGACACGTGGAACCAGAGGCTGCAGGAGATTGAGAAGGAAGCCGCCCGGCGGTATCGCTCTCGGAGCAAGAGGGAGGAGGCGGACGCGAGCTCGGAGGCGGGGAGCAGGGGGCGCCAAGACGACGAGGAGAGCGTGTCTTCCGAGGCCAGCTCGTTCTACAACTTCTGCAGCAGGAACAAGGACAAGCTCACTGCCCTCGAAAGGTGGAAGATCAAGAGAATCCAATTTGGGTTTCACAAGAAGGACCTGGGGGCTGAAGAGAGCGGCGGTGAGCCGGGCGCCGAGGACGCCGAGAGGGAGAAGAGCGCCGACGTCAGCCTGACGGCCTACCAGGCCTGGAAGCTGCAGCACCAGAAGAAGGTGGGCAGTGAGGACAAGGAGGAGGTGGTGGAGCTCAGCAAGGCGGACGCCGCCGCCTCGGCCAAGAAGAGGCAGCGGAGGCTGGAGCTGCTGGAGAGAAGCCGGCAGACGCTGGAGGAGAGCCAGTCCCTGGGCAGCTGGGAGGCCGACGGCTCGGCCACCAGCAGGAGCATCCCCCTGTCTGCCTTCTGGGCAGCAGGCTCCTCGGTGGGCGCTGAGGAGGACGCGGCCTCGGTGCTCAGCACCCAGAGCCACAGCTCCCGCGCCTCGCAGGCGGGGAGCAACGCAGGGGGGTGCTTGGCCTCACTCCCCGGCACAGCTGTGCCCAACCTGCCCGTGGGGCCCGGGGACACCATTTCCATTGCCAGTATTCAGAACTGGATTGCCAACGTGGTCAGTGAAACTCTGGCCCAGAAGCAAAACGAGATGCTGCTCTTGCCCCGCTCGCCGTCCATCGCGAGCGCGAAGGTGCCGCCAGCAGCCGGCTGCCTGGGGGACGACCAGGTGTCCCTTCTCAGTGGACACAGCGACTCCTCCCTGGGTGGCTGCCTGCTGCCGCAGAGCCAGCTGGGGCCCAGCTCCGGCTCACCATCCCTGCTGTCCTCCCGCGCTGCGGGGGGTCCGAGGGCCGAAAGTCAGGGGGGCAAAGTCAGGGGGACCAGCAAGCCTATCTACAGCCTCTTTGCTGACAGCGTGGATCTGAAAGAGCTTGGCCGGAAGGAAAGGGAGATGCAGATGGAGCTGAGGGAGAAGATGTCTGAGTACAAGATGGAGAAGCTGGCCTCCGACAACAAACGGAGCTCCCTTTTCAAGAAGAAGAAGGTCAAGGAAGATGAAGACGATGATGTGGGTGACAGGGATGAGGACACTGACAGTGCCATCGGGAGCTTCCTGTATTCTTCCCGCAGTAATTCCCAAAAACCTGAAACAGACACCTCCTCCTCCCTGGCCATTTCTGATCGCAATGGAAGTGGTAGCAGGGCTGGCAAAGAGATGGACGGCAGTATTACCAAGTGGCTCAGTGGCCTCCGGACAGAGGAAAAATCTTCTCCCCAGAGTGATTGGTCGGGAAGCTCCAGGGGGAAGTACACCAGATCTTCCCTGCTCCGGGAGACGGAGTCCAAGTCCTCCAGCTACAAGTTCTCCAAATCCCAGTCAGAGGAGCAGGACACCTCCTCCTACCATGAGGCCAATGGCAACTCTGTAAGGAGCACTTCACGGATCTCTTCTTCCTCTACCAGGGAGGGCAGAGAGATGCACAAGTTCTCCAGGTCGATGTTCAGCGAGACCTCCAGCTCCCGAGAGGAGAGCCCAGAGCCCTACTTCTTCCGCCGGAGCCCTGAGCCCTCTGAAGGGGATGCATCCCCGGAACCACGGCGTCCAAACTGGGCCAGGCCCAGGGACTGGGAAGACGTGGAAGAGTCATCTAACTCAGACTTTTCTGAATTTGGAGCCAAGAGGAAATTCACCCAGAGCTTCATGAGGTCTGAAGAGGAGGGAGAAAAAGAGAGAATGGAAAACAGAGAAGAAGGGAGGTTTGCTTCAGGGAGGCGGTCTCAGTATCGGAGAAGCACTGACAGGGAGGAGGAGGAAGAAATGGATGATGAAGCCATCATTGCTGCCTGGAGACGTCGGCAGGAAGAAACCAGGACGAAGCTGCAGAGAAGGAGGGAGGATTAAGCTGGGCAAGGTGGACCTGGGCCACGCAGCTTAGTGCAGGGCTCAGAGCACACACGGCCACCACCCATCAAGGGACAGGGGTGTGGAGAGGATCATCCTGAGGGGCAGCAGGGCACTCGAGTTGGGGTGGAGAGGAGGAGGAGAGTGAGATCTGAATGCTAAACCCACCGACACTGCTTTCTGTTGCCCAATGTCCTCTTAAGTTTTGACACTTCACTTACACATGTGATCGTGTCCATCAGAGATTGGAGGTGAGCTCGTGTGACACCATAGCTTGTCAGAGATTCCAGCTTACATCCAGGAATACTCAATACAGGATGTGGTTCTGGTTGTGGAGGTTTCATCAGAGCCAGGAAATTCATCCTGTGGCGAGTCTCACCTCTCCTGGCAAAGCTGATTTCTGGTTGTTTCTCTTAAATGTTTGGGATCTCCATTAAAATGGTATGTTGTCTAACATTTCTTATGTCATTCTGGTCATTTTTAGCTTTCTGAACCTATACCTTAAAAGACACAGATGGGTTATCATGAGCCAGTCTCACCTTGTTCCATAAATGCTGGCCTCCAGACTACACCGCACTTTTTACATTAAAACAGTAACCAAGTATTTTGTCTATGATACAGTAAAGTGGGAAGACATGAGGAAGACCCTTGAGAGTAACAGGGAATTACAGGGAGATCACGTTTTATTGGGGTGAGAGTGGTGAGACATAGGCAGAGAGGAGGGCCCCCTGGAATAGCAGAGAGACAAAAGCAAACCAATGGGGGTGAGGGAGAAGAAAAGAAGCCCAATACAAGGAGATGGAGATGTAGTTTCATGAAATCTTTCGGTCACCCTTGCTTTTCATTCCTTGGAGGATGGTCAGACCATGCGGTAGGCAGCCCACGGGATCCTTCCTGCACTCTGGTTGGGCTAAGTTGGTGAGAATTCTTTACCCTTTATTCCCAAGGCATGTTTGCTTTACAGAACACAAGTTGGATTTCTAAGGCCAGCTGGTGTGTTGAACACCTGACAACGAGCATTGGTGGATTGGTTCCTACAGTTCCTTTCAACAGGCAGCACCTTGCAAGATTTGAAAATAGGCATATGCCATGCAGGGCTGCAAGATGTCTAGATGTCAGTGAGCCTTTGTCCCTGGTTTCCATTGCTTGATAGAACATTCTCTTCTTATGAAATGGCACCATCTTAATATACCTCCAGCATGAAGGCCATTTCTGGGTGAGCTCAACCTTTCCTCTCTCATTTTACTCCAATAGGGAAATTTCTGGTACAGGCACAATCAAGTGGGAAGTCAGTCTTCTGGATGGAGGAATGAGAATGTCTCTGCGATAGCAGCTCTCTGTTTCTTTTCTGATCTTCTTACCTTGAGTTATCTTGCAATTTAATCATAAATACTTAGACAGCCAAGGTCAGGGATGAATACACCAAGTGAATTGACAAGCCAGCTGAGCAACTGCCCCTAATATCCATCCATAGGAGCCAGTTAACTCAGGTTTCCACACATCTTTCTCTTTGTTAACATAAGTGAAAAAATAAAGAAGTTGATCTTAGTCACTTTGAAGTAGATAATTTTTTTAAAAACATAATACTCCCAATTCATACCCCACTGAATGGATGTTGAACAAACATGCAACGCATCTTAGTTTCAAGACATCTAGTCTTTCCCCAGTCCTGAAGGTGAGCCTGGGGAGGCACAGACCAGGGAGACCTCCTGGCCTGCTTTTATCTGTGCTCATAGGCTACAGGCAGCCATGGCCCCCACATGGAGGAGCTCAGCTTGCCAGAGGAAGTGACCAGAGAGGGGCAGCATCAAGCCCTGGAGAAAGGCCTTTGCTTGCTGTGTCTTCATGGAGAGCTCCTTTAGGATCCTGTATTGAGAGAGGTATCTGTCTGGAAACATGGGGTTCTGAATTCAGCTTATTCCTGGTGTTCAGACTTTGTGTTGGGACACACATCAATAGAAATATTATGTGATTTTTTATGATTAGGATTAGCTGGGATTTGGAGTGTTAGGATCACAACTGTGACTTCTGAATTAGACCAAATCTGGGATGATAGGTTGCACTCCAGCCTCCTAGACTCTGAATGACATTAAAAGGTATGCATTGTGTCTGTAAAGGTCCCAGTAGGTGGCATGCCCCAACTGGAAACTGATGAGAGTTTAATGCAGGAACTATGTACAGAGGCATGAGTAGGATTAAGAGGACAAGAAAGAATAGTAAAGCACCCAGTAACTAGCAAGAGCAAAAAACTGATACCACCCTAGGGCTGAGGGGACAATGTGAGGGAGCTGTTTGCAGAGCCGGGCAAGAGCCACAAACATGGGGGAAGGGCCACCTGACAACCCGGCAGAGGAGAAGGGGTATGGATATCCTGACTTCCCTCTCCTTCTAGATTGTCATCATGTTAGTAACGTTCACTGGCCAAACCTAACTGGACTCCAGAGAGAAGGGGAGCCCAGTACCGGAATGCTGGAGAAGAATGAATAGCAGATCTGAGGTGGGGCAGAGAATACCCAGCATGGACATGAATACATTTGAATGGAAAAGCCACGTCCATGAGCCTCCCTGGTGATGTTGTTCTGAATAACCGAGAACACTGTGCGCTGAACACAAGGTCAATCCGCTCTTAAGAATTAATTAATGACTGGAACAGGGTTTTTAGCTACACAAAACCAATAAAGAGAGTCTGTAATTTTGTTTTACAGGAAATAAAAGGCGAAGACAGATCTGAATCTGTGTCCTTCGTTGGCTAGGAGAAAACCCCCCCAATAAGGGGAGAACAGTGTTCAGAAGGGGGCCCCACAAGAGTGGAAATCCTGCAGAGAATTCTGGGGTCAGGGGCGAGGAAGAGAGAGAAAGAGAGCTGAACAGATTTTGCCCCAAAGGTGAGGCCCTGGACGGTAAATGAAAACACGGAGGCTGTGAAGAAACAAGGCATGGGGAGCATGCCAGAACCAAACAGAGGGTGCACCCACATTAGGGTCGTTGAGAGGGGAGGTCCAGAAAGGAGTCCCCTACAAAGCCGTGGGCAAGTGTAGAGGGCTAGCGTGCATCCCAGGGCCAGGGCTCAAGTCTCTAGGCTGAAGAGGCAAGTACATGGAGCTGTTCCAGGCAGCCAGCCCCAAGACAGGCAGGCTGGCTGTATGGAGGAGGCTGTCCTGCAAGAGCTTTCTTTGGTCAAGGGAACCAGCCTGACAAGATCCTATGGGGCAGGAGCCAGAGGACTTCAGCCTCAGGCTCCCGCCGCCTCCCCACAAACCAAAACCCCGAGGCAATAGAGTTGCATGCCATGCATCCCATCAGCCTCATGGGCACAGAGGAGGGTGGTAAGGGGAGCAGAGCTGGAAGGCAGATGGCCTTCCAGCCAAGAGCAAAGGCAAAATGTGGGGCCAGTGCGCCAGTTATCCTGTGACATATTGTGGATGCTAGGTTATGAAGACTCTGCTTTTGGTGGTAGGCATGTCCCCAGAAAAGGGACGTGAATTTCTCTGGCCTCTGAAACGTTCCCACCTGGTATGGCTAGGGAGAATTATTAACCAGTGACAAATGACTAGGCTCAGCGGTGTGCCAGGAGAGCATCGATCACGGAAGCTCGAGCCCTCACGGCCACGTTTGAGGCCTCCCTAGGCCCTTGCCTGTGGCTGCACCAGGTAACTCTGCCCATCACATTTGCCGCCTGCCTTCTATTCCCCTCGCCACTCCCGCAGCCAGGCCCTCTGTCCACCACCGGCTGTTGCGGCTGCCTCCCTAACTGGTTTTGGCCTCCCCTCTTTTCTATCTAGTCTAGAACCAAACCAATCTTCCCACGGTTCGTAATCCTGGTTCTTTGTAATGCTTAGCTTAAAAACTGCAGTGCTCCTTACTGCCTAGGTAATGAAGCTAACATTTCCTCACTGACCTTCAAGGGCCCCCTACCCTGCATTTCCAGCCTCATGGGTTGCTCCCCTCCCGCGCCACACCTCCCACATCGCATGAGCAGCACGCTGTTTCACACCCTTTATTGTGCTCTTTCTCGGGGCTGTCCCTCTGCCTCAGGCGTCCCCATGGTGCCCTGCCACCTCCCTGTGACGGTCTCATCACCCTCCAGGCTTCTCCTTCGCTACTAAACCTCTTCCAGCCTCCCTGGCCACCCGGGTCTCTTCCTCCTCTGAAATCGCACAGCGTTTTGCTGGCACTTGTCTTCGATGCTTACCCTAGTCTGCTTTTTATTATAGGAATTTCGTACATAAGGATAAGAATGTCTTTTAGGATTACTGTGTGGTTGTAATTAAGTAAGATATTATTTTAATATACCTAGACAGGTGATAGCATACCATAAAATCTAGTAAGTTGTACATCGTTATATGTAATTCTATAATAATAATGTGATTACTGTTATAATTACTATAGACACAATGTGCTAAAGTGGTTAAGAACACAGCTTTGGAATCTAATGGAAAAACAGCCAACACTTTATTAAGTGTTTATGATGCTCCAGGCACGACGCTAAGAGTTTTAGCATGGATTATCTCTTCACGATCTTACCCTTTTTTTTTTTTTACTTCATTTTTTGAAGCATATGATGTGCTAAACAAAATGAGAGGCACTGGAGATTCAGGAGAAACCAAGAGAGAAGAGGGCTTGCCCTCAAGGAACTGATAATTTTATTAACAGAGATAGGCAGTAAACAAGGAATTTTGAATAATTTGAATAATAAATATCTGCTTGCCTATATGTCTGTCTCTACCTACTAAAATGCAAGGCCCAGGGGATGACTGGGTGGGTCAATGGTTGAGCGTCTGCCTGCGGCTCAGGGCATGATCCCAGGATCTGGGATGGAGTCCTGCCTGCTTCTCCCCTGCCTATGTCTCTGCCTTTCTCTCTCTGTGTCTCTCATGAATACATAAATTAAATCTTAAAAAGAAATGCAAGCCCCAGGTGTGTGGCTGCCTCAGTCAGTAAAGTATGTGACCCTTGATTGTGGGGTCATGAGTTCAAGCCCCAATTGGGGATAGAGTTCACTAAAAAATAAAAAAAATAAAATAAAAATAAATAAAAAATAAAATAAAATAAAATAAAATGATAAAATGCAAGTCCCATGGGGGTGCCTCCAGTTCATTGCTGTATCCCTGCACCTAGAAGCCAAGCCTAGAATGAAAAGAACTCTTAACAAACTTGTGTTATGGCTGAAGATGTTAGTGCTCTGAGAGAAGTAAGCCGGGTAACAGTGGAAATGGTTGGTGGGGAGCAGGGGGACAGTAGGATGATCAGAAGAACCTCTTTCTGAGGAGCTAAAACCTAAGCAATGAGAAGGAGCCATCCAGGTAAGGACCCCGAGGAAAAACACCCCCTGCAAAGAAACCAGTGGAGATGCTGGGGTTTAGAGGGTTGAAACCATGAATGACCTGAGGCCATAGGGCAACTCCACCCCACACGCAAAATGCAAATTGAGACAATCTGATTTTAGAGACTATGTG